TGTTTTACAACGTCGTTGCCAAGCGACGAAAACCCAACCCCGATGGCAAACACCGGGGGGGGCGGTGGGGGGGACATTTCACAATCGTGCACGCGAGTCGCGAGAGTGGCGACATCGCTTCGGACTGTGGAGCCACGCGGCCCGGGAGGGTTCAAGCAGCCAGAAAGAACCCTAAGGAGGACATCTCTGGAGGGTATACTTGGAGGCGACCTACCCGTCATGAAACATGAAACAGGTAATCAACACACACAGCACAGTCGTTCCGGACGTCGTCCATGGATTTGTTCTGAACTACAAACCTGCTGCATCATAACGAGAGGCTGTGGGAGAGGAAAGGAGGTACCAAAGGGATGATGCGACGTGCGCTGTCTGACAGACCATGAAAAACCTATCTATCCACAACTGTGGGCAAAGGCCTAGCTTCGCACCTCTCTTCCCCCCTGTTGCGGAGTGGCCACGCGTCTGGGACCGGTGGTAGGCACAACACTGACAGGCGTGAAGCCTCTGCTATTGACACCGACACCACCACTACCGCTGCCACCCACACCCCCTCTCGCCAGCATTCCTGTCGGCCACAGCATGACCCCTGTCTTCGCGGTTGAGCTACCGACTGCATCGGGCGTCGCCCCTGGCGTCCCTGGGGTGGTGATCGTAGTACCGGCGCCACCAGAGGTGACGTTCGTGGCGCCGGCGTCCGCGCCGGCAACGGGGAACGGCTCCGTGTTTCCGCTGCTTCCGCCGCTACCGCCGCTGCCGCCTCCGCCCCCGCCGTATCGCTTGTGCGAAATGCGGCCACTGCCAACGTTGCTGCTGGTCCCGCCGTCGTCCGCGACGGGCTTCGGCGTGGCGGGTGGTCGCCTGAAGATGATTAGCCCGCGATAGGCGACGTAAATGTAAAAACAAAAAGGGCAGCAGGCCGCTTGATGTGAAGCATATGCGAGGTGAGGAAATGCATGTGTATGTCTTGTGTGCTTGGATGCGTGTGATGTGTTGCTTCGAAGGGAATCCAGCAGTGAACCCCTGTAAAACCGCGAAGTAAAGCCCCTTCCACCGCAGTCGTTACACGACACGGTGACGGAAATGCGATAGCGCTTTCCTCCCGTGCACGACCGAATTAGTTTAGCCTCTCCCCCTCTGCCGCCCAACCTTGGCTGTGGTACATCTCATCCTGGAGACAATCATCCAAAAGTCACATCGACTCACTTGGGCTTGAATTGATTGCCTCTGCTTCTGCCAAATGACGCAGTCATAGCGGCGGTAGCATCAGCGGCCTGGGAGGGGAAACGGGACCACGTCAGGATGGAACAGGGGGGCGTCTTACATTGGACAAGCCTTCGTGAGACAAAACCTCTGCCGTCAAGGACGCGGGATCCACTGCCCGCATCAGATGTGCATGCATTGCAAGCGCAGCAAAGATGACCCCACGAATTGGCGCCCGCCCCGGAGCACACAGTTTTCCCTAACGGGGAGGGGGCATGTACATAACACTCCTATGACGCGAAAAAAACGCACCAGCGAACCCCTGCTTTTCATCCAGCAACAAACGACCCATTCAAGGTGTGGTCTTCGGTCTGTGGAACACGAGAAGTGACAATATTTTCAAATGACCTCTGCACCTGCTGGTGTCGCCCGATGCTTGACATGTTAGCGCCCGGAGTCCCCGGAATAGGAGACCCAGCCCTGCGACGATGGTGGTGGTTGTCGTCAGTATCATCTAAGCATCACCACGGTAGAGAAGGATAATACAGGTCTATAACTTCCTCGCAGCATCTCATGGTGCGTAGGACAATCCCTGTAATCCATGTGTTTGTGTGAAGGGGCTACTGCTGCTGTGGAGGTAACGATGGCATTCGTTGAACAGATTCGTCTTCGATCCATCTTACGGGTGCAACTTGAGAGGCAAGTGAAACTAACGTATATCACAATGAAACAGGGGGGGGCATTGAACAGCGATGTACCCGTCAAATTCTAGGGGGGGAAATGGAAGGCTAATGCCTTCTTCCTGTGGGGTAACCTGTGACGGCGGGCATATTGCACTCCCTGTGTGGACGAGTACTGAAAAAATGGAGGTGCTCGGGAGGCGTCGGAAGGGAGTTTTCTGTCAAGACGACGACCACAGCGACCACATCAGTGACAACCCCAAACTCCCAACAAACTTTGCTAGACGGGTCGCGCCTCACACCACCGGGTTCCGTCAACAAGAAAGGGGCGCGTGGCAGGAAATTCGTCTCTCTGCCTTCTTACGCAAGAGCGAGCACAAGCCTACACTTCGCGATCGACCAGGCAAGGCCCAGGTAATTCATTCCCGGACCTGAAGCTGATTAAAAAAAAACACGATTCATCATAGATCGATGGAATTTCGAGTCTCTTCGAGCACTTCCGCTTCACTTGTTCCGGGAAAGGGCGGGACATTATGAATCACGTCCCGCATAGTCACTCTAAAAAAGAAGTTATCTCCGCACGAAGGCTACCGGCGATATTGATAGTATAGCCGGGAGCCTACTGCACGCGTGGCGCCCCGGCTGCAACCGACATGAAGAGAGGGTCGTAATTACCTGCCGGAGGGGGGGTTCTGCTGCTGTTGCTGCTGGTGCTGCTGCTGCTTTTGCTGGTGCTGCTGGAGCTGGTGCTGGCGCTGGTATTCTTGCTGCTGTTGCTCTTGTTGCCGTTGCTCTGGCTGTCGTTGCTGCTGCTGCTGCTGCTGCTGTTGCTGCTGGTGCTGCTGCTGCTGCGGGGTGCACGGGACCGCCAAGGAGAGGGCCGCGAGAACGGAGGCGCTGGGCCCCGCCGGGTGCATGGAAAGGAGTTCGATCGCCTTCGGTGTCAAGTAGACAGTGCTGCCACTGCTTTCCCCGCAAAACAAAGCACGGACACCACACAGAAAACGCGAAGAGGAAGTGGGTTATCCGGAGATCGACGTGAGTGCGAGAAGGAAATAGCCTGGTCTGGTGTAAAATTTTTTCCACCTTCTTTGTCGTGTGATGAAGCGATTCGGCCCCTGCAAGGCCTCGGAAGCTCACGATACCGCGGCATCCGTCAGCCAGCTAGGCGAGAGTCAGATAAGACCACCGGATATCAGTTTGAGCGAAAAATTAATGACCACAAATTGCCGCCTGATACTCTCGTCTTTCACTGACAAAGAGACACATGGCACGAAAACGAAAAAGTCGAAAAAAATTACAACGGATAGCTCTGACTTAACACAACCCACTTCGGACCGTGGAAATAGCAAGCAAAATTTCGTTTGTTTCTCTCTCTCTCTCTCTCTCTCTCTCTCTCTCTCTCTC